ACTGCTTCTATTGACTGCTAACCACAATCCAAAGCACAGATACTTACCAAATCTCTCCAAAATCTATCCCAGAAAGTTAAACTGGTTTTCAGTAAAGAATTTTGAAATGTACACACACACACATACACACACACATACACATACACACCACATACACATGCACACCCATACACACAAACCACACACACACCTATACATATCACACACACACACCACACACACACACATACACACACCACACACACACACACACACACACACACACACGAAACCTTTGGACCGACGATCACTCGGCTTTCGGAACTCTGACCTCAAGACATGACATGGCCATGTTCATCTTGAAATCAGAGCATCTGTGATCACTCCACAGACCCTCACAAGATCCAGTCTATAACATCCCATCCTATAAGGGGTGGAAGGGCATCAGGCCCTTACCTGCACTCCGAGCTGTTCACTCACTGCCTGCTCCACTGCATGAAACCTGCTGCCCGTGGACTTGGGGTGCTGAGGAACGAGGGTGGAAGGGTGACAGAGGAAGGACGGGAGCAGTTTTACATCCTTACCCTGCTTGCTGAGCTTTTTGGTGATGCAGCTATTTGGGGTCACTGGCACTCTTCTCATTAACCCCATCCACACTCCTGTAAGTAAACCCAGTAAGCTCCTGAGTTCACAAGGATGGATTCTGGTTTGTTGTTGGGACCCTATCACATCTTCCCAGGAAAAGTCACACAACAAACTCACTAACTTTCTCATGTCCCACTAACCCCAATGTTCAATAATTATGTTCAGTAAATCTTTGCTGAATGAATAAGCCAGTATGAGCTTCTCACTAGACCCCAGTCTACCCATTTTTCTTTTTCTTTTTTGGTCTCAGTCTTCTTGAGACAGGGTCTCCCCATAGCCCCAGCTGTCCTGGAGCTCACTGTGTAGACCAGGCTGGCCTCGCTCTCACAGAGATCCACCTGCCTCTGCCTCCTGAGTGCTGGGACTGAAGGTGTGTGCCACCACCCGGCTCCATCTCTCTTTTAACTTGGTTTCTTACTAACTGTAGGAAAATCACTCAGAACTCCTGGCTCCTTAACTGCACAATGGAGACACTGTGTTTCGTCTGCCGGTTCATAAAGCTTAAAGGTGACAGTCTATAAAAAGTACTTGGAGCACCACAAAGAGGCACACACATGTGGCTGCCCCTCACCCCACCCCTGCCTCCTGCTGACCCACCAGCAAAGGTGAAAAGCCCCACATCTTTCAATATACTCGGGCTCCCCTCTGCCCTGCTGTTCTGCTTGGATGTGGTGGCGTGGCTGCTGGCCAAGATGGATGCTGTTCTTGTTGTTATAACATTTTATTTAATCTCCACTGGGAAATTTGCTTCTTGAGAGGAAACAACGGTGATCCAGGCAATGTTGCTCTGTGCTGTTTTATAAAGAGCAGGCCGCTGGGCCCGAAGCCTGGGCTCTTTTACACATGTGAGGAAGGTTGATTGACCAGTTTCTTTATCTATACATTGTTGGGGAAGAAGAGTCAGGCTAGACAGGATCTGAGGTTCATCAGCTACAGTTCTATGACCAGGCTGGCCTCGCTCTCACAGAGATCCACCTGCCTCTGCCTCCTGAGTGCTGGGACTGAAGGTGTGTGCCACCACCCGGCTCCATCTCTCTTTTAACTTGGTTTCTTACTAACTGTAGGAAAATCACTCAGAACTCCTGGCTCCTTAACTGCACAATGGAGACACTGTGTTTCGTCTGCCGGTTCATAAAGCTTAAAGGTGACAGTCTATAAAAAGTACTTGGAGCACCACAAAGAGGCACACACATGTGGCTGCCCCTCACCCCACCCCTGCCTCCTGCTGACCCACCAGCAAAGGTGAAAAGCCCCACATCTTTCAATATACTCGGGCTCCCCTCTGCCCTGCTGTTCTGCTTGGATGTGGTGGCGTGGCTGCTGGCCAAGATGGATGCTGTTCTTGTTGTTATAACATTTTATTTAATCTCCACTGGGAAATTTGCTTCTTGAGAGGAAACAACGGTGATCCAGGCAATGTTGCTCTGTGCTGTTTTATAAAGAGCAGGCCGCTGGGCCCGAAGCCTGGGCTCTTTTACACATGTGAGGAAGGTTGATTGACCAGTTTCTTTATCTATACATTGTTGGGGAAGAAGAGTCAGGCTAGACAGGATCTGAGGTTCATCAGCTACAGTTCTATGACACTGCAAACACCACATCGTCAAGGCGCCCAACACAAGGCCATATCTGATCTATTAGCACATGATCTGAGCCACTATTTTAGACACTAACAAAAACATTTCTGTGGACCAAGGTTCAGCAAGTGGAGAAACAATGTTACAAGATGCATGAGGGCTAGGGGTGTAGCTCAGTGGTACGGAGCTTGCCTAGGTGTGCAAGGCACTGTGTTGGATGCTCAACACTGGGGGGAAAAATCCATGATACCCTCTAAAATATAGCAGCTCCAGGCGTGGTCTACTCTGCTTCCTAATATTCTTAGGACTCAGTTTTCTGCTCTGTAAAAGAGAAGCAATAATATCATTCAGGACCACTGGGACAAACTGTCTGGTAAATTCACTGTCAGGTGTGGCTATTTAAAGGTAAAATGCTATTTAAGGGTTATAATGTTCAAAAATAGGCTGGCAGGTTTCAGGAGGAGACAATCGATATTGTTAACTGGGCTTTTTCCATCACAGTAAAATACAATGCATGTAGATACTGTGATATTTCTTAGTAATCACGGTTTTTGCCCATTCACATGCAGGGAATGTTGTGAAAAGGATCACTAGAAAACATGGTAAGGTCCACGCCTCACCAGCAGCACCTCTTTCCTCTATAACACAGATTTGTAAGATTTTCTTCAACTCTCCCAGGATGTTTTTGTCATTGTTGTTCTTTGATCAGTTGATGGGAATACGCTGTTGGAATGGGTGTTGAGACGCTGGGAGGGAAACACTGGGCCTGAGAACAGGCAACACCCCCCAACCCACCGGGGCACTCTGTCCACAGCACATGCACGAAGATGAATGGCTCCACATCAACTAAACCAGGAGGTTGTAGGCGGCGCTTAGTCCCCTTCAAGCCGAGCAGCCGCAGCCTGCAGCACACATCCTGTTCCTTCTCCCCACCGGCCTACAGCCTGCACCTTAGATAGCTTCCCCTCTGAGGTACAGAATTGCTGCCTCCCCTCTACCAGATGGAGATTATCACTTACCCATAAATTGGCATTGCTTACAGTGGGTACCCCAAGACTATGTCCATACTCCCTAGTGGGTCAGTTAGTATCAATGGTAACAGTACAGTAACTCTTAAATGATTTTACTTAGAAGGCCATGAACATGGCCAGCTTTTTATGGCAGGAGAGCTCACTGAGGCTGTCCCTTTAGCAGTTACCCCCTGCAGCCACAAGTACTGACTGTGACCTTGTCCTAAATGCCCTTTGATCTACATAAGGAAGACCCTGAAGGGATCTTTAAGAAGCACACAGTAGGGCTGGAGAGATGGTGCAGCGCCATCTGATTGATCTTGCCGAAGACTGGGGTTGGATTCCCAGCACCCACATGGCAGCTAACAATCATCCTAACTCCAGTTCCAGGGGAGCCAAATCATCCTAACTCCAGTTCCAGGGGACCCAACACTCTCTTCTGACCTCTGCGGGCATTGCATGACCTGGGTACATTTGCACACATGCAGGCAATACACTCATACTCATACACATAAAATAAAAATAACAAAGTATTTTTTAATGTTTTAAGAAGCACATAAAGACTTCATCATTTATAAGAAAGCACATGATATAAAAGGCTTCCTACCTAGTTGATAGCCCAATTAAAAAGAATTTATTAGTGGCAGAAGTCACTTTTCATGTCTTTCCCCTGAATCCTTAACTAAATTCACGTGGAGACTCTTCGTTTTCAACTCAAGTGCCAAGGCTCCAAGCCTTGGTATTTACACACCTTCCAAACCCGGCTCCTGAGCTAGAGCCTCACAGCCTCGGCAGGTCACCGGCCTGTGGGAGGACAGGGGCTGAGAACCCAGCACCTCGGGCTTGGCTCCCTTTGGGGACAGCCATCTGGGGAACAGGTGCACGCGGCACATCCCGGGTTGCTGGCTGTGACTGATAGTTCCCGAAGGCTTCATGCCACTGTCTATAGAAACCACCGGGAAACAGTGTGGGGTACAAAGGTGTTGGAAATTGTCTCCATCCTGATGCTAAGGATTCTCGACTCTTCGCGAAGCGCTGCGTGTGGTCGATAACGACAGGAAAACAGAGTGCAGAGTAAAGGTTCATTGAGTAATGGATAGATGGAGTTCGGGGATTATAGTAGACGAGACCGGCATAACATACTGGGTTTGAAGGTAAAGAAATACGTCAGATTTGTACCAGGGACCACTTAGTTCGCTCTGTACCGTGCCCTCCACTTCCCACCCGAGTTCAGGAAAGCCATCTGACCTCATGAGCCGGGTGGCCCCGAGGGAATGGTATTATCACACAGCCCGGGCGCAGGCGGTCCCCAAGTCCCCGCGTCTCTACACCTCGGATTTCCCAGCTTGGGAGACGCAAGGTGGAGGCGGTGCATCCTCGCCTCTGGACCGGGCCAGGACCCGAGTGCCCCGGCCCCGCGGCTGGCCCCGTCCTCCGGGGCAACTCGGGACCCTCGGGAGCCTCCGCGCGGAGCCGGGCAGTGCGCACCCGGAGCGCAGCGCTCGGTACGGCCAGCCCGCAGCCACTTCCCAGGACTTGGCTCCGCAGCTGCCTGGCTCTTTCGGAGAGGACAGAGGGCACGGGCAGAGGCCCCCAAGGCATCGCCTGGAGCTCTCTCCTCCCAGGTCGGGGCGCAGCAGCCGCCGCCGGCCCTGCCCACCTCTCTGGCCCGAGGCACCCGAGGCAGCACTGGGCGCCGCGCACAGCCCGGGATGCCGCTGCCTCTGCCATCACCGCACCCGCAACATCCCCAAACCAGCCTGGCCGGCGGAGAGCCCGAGGCAGCGCTTACCGTTGGAGCGCCGCACGATATTCTCCAGAAACGTGTTCTGCGGGGCGACCAGCCCCCGCCGGCCCCCGGCCATGGTCATGCCGGCCCGGGCGTCTCACCGCAGCAGGCGGCCAGCGAGCGTCCCCAGCTGCACGCGCCCCATGCGCCCCGCCGCGCGCCCGGGAGCGCAGGGGCGG